ACCAATACCAGCACTGGTATCTGTGCTACCAATATTTTCAGTTTTGGATGCAACTTCTTAAGCAAACTTGCTGATCTACACTGATAATAAAATATGCAAATAACAAAATTCTGAACAAACTGAACTTAGAGGATAGAAACAAAGTATCGATCCTAACATGCTAGTATCGATTTGATACCAATACCAGCATTGCTGTCAATACTGTCGATATTTGGATCGATCTGCCCACCTCTAAAAGACATACTGCGCTTGCAAAATTCAGCATTGAACTCAGTGACCTTTTATGTTGTTGCATTGCAAGCAAGCCGGAGTGCTGAATAACTCTCTGCACGCTCAGCAGAAGTTCCTGCAAATAAAAAAAAAAAAGGGAAGAAAAAAAAGGTCACACGGCAGTAAATATTACAGTAACATGCTGTTATGAAGTTTTAACCCCAGCAATGTCAGCTAACCATATTAGCATTCCCACATGGGGTAAAGGCTGTGAGTTGGAATAGAAATGGGCTGGTTCAGTGAGCAGGGGGGGGAAGTGGAGGTCCCATTCGTCTTGTCCTGTTTAAATACACTGGTTAACTCCTGCCAACAGGGAAGCCATTCAGCAAAAGGCCAAGGGCATCTGTCATGTGTCCAGCACATTGATACTGTCCCCCTCCATCTCCCACCCAACCCCCACCTCTTCTCCTCCATCATTTTCCAACTCTTTGTTAATTGCCGCTTCTCGCCGTCATCCTCACCCGCTTTTTTTCCCACTTTTTCCCTTCCTCTGCCGCTCTCCCGCTACCTCGCCTCCTCTTTTGATAAAAGGAGTGAATATGCAGGGAGCTGACATGATTAGCAGCCTCATATCCCCATGATGGATGGAGCCTGCTCCATTATTAATATAGTAAAAGCACCAACTGCCAGGTAAGAGCAATGTCAGCATCCACAATATAACGCTGTGTGCCCACGGATAATGGTGAGCACTTATTTTTTATCTATGATATGCATGGGCTTCGGGCCGAGGAGGAAGAGGAGAAGGAGGTTGCGGAGAGAAAGGATTGGTGGCGGCGGGGGGACGGCACACGTGGCACTAAGACGAGACTTCCAGTTTGGCTGATTCTCGGTGATGCTGTTAAACTTCTCAGCTAAAACACAAATTGTTACAAAGACCAGGAGGATGAAATTACAGGATACTGTAACTGTACTCCATGAAGAGAGCCTTTTGTGTTTTAGAGACTTTTTTTAAAGGTTGGCTGATAAAATAAAAAGGGAGATCAATCATAAAGATTGTTGGGTAAAGTGTTTCTCTTAATATTGCTATGCACAGACATAAAAACTTCCTCAGACTCTGTAATAAACTTCATGGGGCCTTTTACAGTGTTTGGAGTGGTTCAGTATGCCTTTAATTTGATAGTATACTCTACTGTGCAAAAGTCTTGAGCCACCCCACATTTCTTTATATTCTGA